AATCCAATAATTGAGCAATGTTTGTAAAGAGAAATTTGGGATTTTAATTCCAGCATTTTAAAATGCTCTCAATACCATGTCTTTTAGCTTTGAGGAATCAAGTTTCTATTTATTATTTTAAAAGCACATTTTTTCCTTCTTCAATTCTCCAATATTTTTCCTGTGTGCTCATTCGTACCTTCAACAAATAGCTTTAAATATGCTTCCCCCTTGGATTTTTGGGGTCAACTTCCAATAAAAAGTATTTTCTCAGCCAGATCATACTCCATTAACTTTCTCCAATCCAGCACAGTCTTGGGTATTCAGATATTCAGACTGTCCCCGGTTTCATGGGCCATTTTGGTGGTGGCTGCTCCTCATCTTCAGACGAGGGGGCTTTCTCAGTCAGGGAGGAAAGATGTGGCTCTCCTCAACCTGCCAGGCTGTCCCATCTTACTTCACCATCCCTTTAGGGTGGCTATGGTCCGAAATTGAACCTTCCAACAGAGAGAGGTCAGAGCTGACCGCAGAACTTGCAGATGAGGCTTCTGAAGGTCCCGGAAGTATTGCCGTGTTTGTTAAGTGAATTACTAGTAATGTGGTTGTTAAGTGAATCTGGCTTCGCCATTGACTTTGCTTATCAGAAGATCACAAAAGCTGATCATATGACCTCGGGACACTGCAACTGTCATAAATGTGAGTCACTTGTCACACATCCACTTGTAAATCATATGACCATGTTTCAACAGTCATAAGTGTGAAAAATGATCGTAAGACACTTTATCAGTACCGTTGTAACTTTGAACAGTCAGTAGACGAACTGTTATAAGTTAATAATGGGATAAAATTAATTTTAGATATAAGGAAAATTAAATATCATTGGTTGTCCATGAGACATTTTTATGTTCCTTCTAGTGAATTAAAAATTAAAAACACAGGAAAACTTTTGGAAGGATTGGGAGGGGGAAGAATACTTCAGGTTTTCAGTCATTTTTCTTTTTTACCTCATGGATTTGGAACTTTTATCTGTATTTTGCAAGATTTGCCTTCCTGCATTTTGTAATTCCACTTTTCCTCCAGTCACCTATCAGACCGCATTCTCCCATTCATCATGGCGCCTTGTTCTGAGGTAAAATTTGTAAAACTTCCATGGGTTTCAGCTTTCTCTCCATTTTGAAACTTGTTTTCTTGATTTTCTTTGTCAGACGGCCGCAAAAGGTGATGACATGACCCTGGACATTGGAGCTGTCATAAATATAACTCAGTTGACAAGCGTCAGAATTTTAACCAGACGATCATGGGGATGCTACAAAGGTGGTAACTGTGAAAAACAGTAATAAGTCACTTTTTTTTCAGTGCCATTGCAAATTTGGACCGTCACTAAATGAACTTCTTAAGCCTTCCTGTGACTCTGCCGGCCCTCTTATCTTCCCTCACTTCAAGGCTGACTTTGCCAACAGCCACATGACACAACCCGGGTTTCAAAGGGAGGCTCCTGTTCCTTTTGAGCCTCCACAGAGATTCTCTCAATATGATCGTTCTTAGACATTTGGAAAAAAAGGAAAGTCTAGAAATTCCTACCTGCTGCAGTCAGGCAATGTCAGAGGGAGCCTTTCCTTCTACTCTAATGCCCATCATCCCAGGCGCGCATGGAACATGACCATCGGTCTTACGCCCTGACAGGGTCTGTCTGTCAGGGTCCATGTGGCGTTGCACGCAGGATCCACCAGGGGACTCCCCAGGAAGCCGTTGGAAAGGCCTCACGGCTTCAGGGGTGGACTGAGCATGCGCTCTTTCACTAGGTCCGAGACCCTCGCGGGGCATTTTGCAAAGAAGACTGCAAGCGCGTCCGCCCTTTCTACACTGCCCGATTCTACACCCTGCCCGCCCCTCCGGCGCTACGAGCCTTAGGCTGAGCCTTTCCAGCAGTCCAAGAGGCTGCAAGGAAGCCTTGCACGGAGGGAGATCAAGACCTGACTCCGGAGTTCAGTAAGTGCGGAGGAGTTTTTCTTCCACGGGCTGGACCGTGCGTGGAGACACGCAAAACTTCATCAAGTTCGGAGTCCTGGAAAGTGGGGAGCCCCTTGTCCCATGTTCCCCTGCCGCCCTTGTGAATGCACGGACTAGGCAGGGAAGACATCAAAAGCCTCCAGGAGGAAAATCGGGACCGCCAGAAAAATCGGAGCCATTCAGGATTAAGGGAAAAATGAGAAACCTCTTTCCAGGAGAAGCCTGAATCAAATCGTAGCTGGTTTATCTTCCGGTATTATTATTCACGCATTGAATCGTGATTTGTCGATTGCGATTTCTGAGCTACCCATAGAGGTTTGGGCCAGGAGGTTAATGGGTATCTAGTGGCAGAACTTCCAGTGTAACGCTATACTGAAAAGTCAAATATTGTTTTAAAAATATGTATCCAACGTTCTTAGTCCTTGATCATAATTGATCGAGAAGGTTACTACATAAATTTTTCCACACACAGATATGCTAGTCTACCAACTAGTAAGCTTTCCAGATATTGTTGGGTTTATAAGAATTTTATTTGGGATTTTGTGGATGCTCAGTTATTAAGTTGATCAACCTGTATTATTGGAAGTTTATTTTGTTTTCCATTTCAGATATATAAATTGGAAATCTTTCCTGGTTCCCTTGGAATCCAAAGTATCTTGTGTGGGAAGAGGGCTGAATGGCCTTTAGACGTCGTCAGATTAGTAAAACTTCAGAGATCCATCCATCTATTTTGGAGCTGGATTAGAGACCAGAGAGAAGATGGAGGGACAGTGTCCAGCAGATGGAGGAGTTGGAAAAGGCCCTCCAGCTACTCAGCTTCAGAGCTGTGGGGAAAATGGGGCAAGTTCTGGGCAGAAGAGCCAAGAGGAAGAAGCCAACAATTCAGAGGTCCAGTGCTGTCACTTCAGAAAATTGCAGTTCCAGGAGGGGAAGAGTCCCAGAGATGTTTGCAGTCAGCTTCACCGTCTTTGCTGTCAATGGCTGCAGCCAGAAAAACACACAAAGGCTCAGATGCTAGACTTGGTGCTCCTGGAGCAATTCCTGGCTGTCCTTCCCCCAGAGATGGAGAAATGGGTGCGGGAGTGTGGAGCAGAAACCAGTTCCCAGGCGGTGGCCCTAGCCGAAGGCTTCCTCCTGGCCCAGGTGTCTGAAAAGATGCAGGTGTGAGAATCTCTCTGAATTTGTCAATTTCTTGGAAAGAGTTTTCTGGGATTATTAATTCCTATGAACAGTTGTTCCATGTGTTTTAGTCAATTCTTCCATTCTCTTTCTCCATTCTCTTTCGACTTTCATAAATAGACACTGGGGACTGCTAGTTTAAAGGTGCTGTATGATAATTCCTTAGCGCTCTTTCTTTGTTTCTCGTATCACATCATCTCCAGAAGTCCTTGGAAGCTATCAGTAAATATCCCAAGGGAAGGAAAGATTCATTCAGATCTTCTCAAGAGCTGCTCTTCAGAGAGACCTTACAGAAAGATCAAAGTCAGGACACCACTCCAGGTAAAAAAAAGGTGTTTCTGTGTGATGTGAGATCTCATTTCACACAAAGAAATAACATTTAACTAATTATTTTGCTCCTCTTGATTGGAAGGTCTCTAACTAATCTGCTTCCACCATTTTTCTCTTTCTCACAGAGAGTAGAAAGCCGTCCTTGGAAATTTTAGAATCACCTCTTCTTTGGGGTGGAGCTGAAGAATTGGCTGAACCGCTAATTCGGGTAAGGAGGAGAAACATCACAAAAGGTCCATGAATCTTGGATGGATTTCATTTTGTTCTAGAGTTTTTTGCAATAAACTGCTAAGTTTATTATAAGTTCATATTTAGCTTAGCGTGTCTTTCCCTTCTTAGGGATCCTTTGTGAGGCACTTTCTCCACCCCTCCTGCTTCACAGATTAGTTTGACCAGGCTGTTGTCAGCATCAGGCCTCTTCCTCCCCTGATCTTCCTGGGTCATTCTCACATACCATTACAAAAAATACTTTTTATTTGCCTTTTGAAGAGCATCTTTCGGACAACCGTGACCTGGTGACAGAGAATCTCCATAGAGATATCCTGTTACAAGCACTTCCAACACCATCATGAAGGTGTGGAGTTGGCTTACTTTTGCCCCTCAGTGGATAAAGTAAGTCAATGGCAAAAATATCAGGTGGGTTTTGCCACTATTTGGAATTGCCCACCCTAGAAAGAATTGGAGCCACTGATAACTAATGAATTTAAGACCAAACTACCAAATGACCAAGAAAACTATTTGAATTGGCTACACTGAAGGGGATTCCAAATACTTCCAACATAATCCAATGTGTTTCATTCGTGCCAGAAGATCAAAAGCAGTGAGATCTCATTCTGAACTCTGCACAAGATGCCCATTTTGTTTACTGGATCTCTCTCCTTGAATTGGTAGAAGAAAACTGTCAAATTATTCTTGGGATTATCTGTTAAAAGGAAAACTTGTTTCCTTGTTTAGGATGTTGCGTCTTTTGAGGAAGTGGTCGTGTGTTTCTCCGAGGAGGAGTGGTCTCAACTGGATGCTGACCAAAAAGCTCTCCACAAAGAAGTCATGCTGGAGAATTCCAGGAATCTGTTTTCTCTGGGTAAGAATCCCAATCTCTGCTCAGAAACACAGAAAAATCATGGGGTGGAAGACTTAGATGTTATTAAAAAAATAGATTAAGTTGAAATAAGTGATTAAAAAGATCACTTATTTATTTATATCCTGCCTTTATTTTTTAGAAATAACAAAGGCAGTGGACAAACTCAATATTCCTTCCTCGTGCTGGTTTTCCCTACAACAGCAATCCTGTGACGTGGGTTGAGCTGAGATAGACTGGCCCAAAGTCACCTAGCCAGCATTCATCCTAAGGATGAACTAAAACTCTCACTAACCTAGTTTCTAGCCTGATCCTTTAACCAGTGACATTATGGAAGAATGAAATGTATTGAAAGAAACCTTTGCAAACTGCATAGTCTCTCTTTTTACACAAATGAAATGTGCTTTTTAATGCTTTTTGCTCATAAATTACAAAATATTCGTTTCCATTCCACAGAAGATATTAGCAAGAATCTGAGGGATAAGCTATACCTATGGATGGGCGTCTCTTGATCAAGGTCCTGCCTACCAGGGTTGATATTCACTCCTGAATCTCTGCTCTAGGACCCTGATGGCCACAAGCTGCTATAACCAAGACTGGATGGGTCCTGAGTGGGATATCTCTTCTCTGAGATGTGCCCATTTGTGTACCAAATTTGGCATCCGCCTAATTGAGGGTGGGGAGCTATTGTCATACAGTAATTCCCCTTGGCTTTCAATGATTCTGCTCTGTAGACGGGGGGGGGGGGGTTGAGACTTCCAATGAAGTTGGGGAGCTGGTAGGTATGCTGTTGACCCAGGATGATAGCGTGTCCAATGGACTTCAGGAGTTTGTGGCAAAATGGAATAGTCCCAGGTCAAAGATTAGATCTAGGTTGTGTCGTACATTCATTCTGATGTGATCCAATCAGTAGGGATACACTTTGGAAATGGGTCCTTGCTAAAATCTTAGTTTGGAATCTTCATGTTTGCCACCAAAGCAGCCAAACTCTACATATTTATGATTCTTTGGCTAAATTACAGAAGAAAAGGTTTTGATTGTTCTCCTATTCTTGCTACAGTTTTCCTTTTTCTTTTTTTAAGGCTATAATGGGCAGGAGAATAGGAATTGCAAGAAGGAATGTCAAGCAATCCTTTTGAAAGAGGGGAAAGGGAAGCGATATCAATGCATGGAGTGTGCAAAGGCCTTTAGCAGGAAAAGAGCTCTGATTCAGCATAAATCTATCCATACAGAGGGGAAGTTACATCAATGCATGGAGTGCGGAAAGACCTTCTCTTATTATAGCTCTCTTCTAGTCCATCAAAGGAATCACAAAGGAGAAAGACCTTATAAATGCATGAAGTGTGGAAAAAGCTTTACTTGTAGCAGTAGTCTCAATTCCCATATGAGGATTCACACAGGAGAGAAGCCATATCAATGCAAGGAGTGTGGAAAGACCTTTACTTGCAGCAGTACTCTCAATTCCCATAAGAGGATCCACACAGGAGAGAAACCATATCAATGCGAGGAATGTGGAAAGACCTTCTCTCATAATTACTCTCTTATAATCCATGATAGGAATCACAAAGGAGAGAAACCTTATAAATGCATGGAATGTGGAAAAAGCTTTACTTGTAGTAGTAGTCTCAATTTTCACAACAGGATCCACACAGGAGAGAAGCCATATCAATGCATAGAGTGTGGAAAGAGTTTTAGCAGGAGTAGTCACCTTACCTCCCATAAGAGGATGCACACAGGCGAGAAACCGTATCAATGCATGGAGTGTGGAAAGACTTTCTGTTATTCTAAGTCTTTTATAATGCATCAAATGAATCACAAAGGAGAAAGACCTTATAAATGCATGGAGTGTGGAAAGAGTTTTACTTGTACCAGTCATCTTAATACACATAAAATGATCCACACAGAAAAGAAACCATATCATTGTGTCGAGTGCGGAAAGACCTTCAGTTATAACCGTTCTCTTATACTCCATCAAAGGATTCACAAAGGAGAAAGACCATATCAATGCATGGAGTGTGGAAAGTCATTTACTTGTACCGGTAGTCTTAATTCACACAAAAGGATTCACGCAGGAGAGAAGCCATATCAATGCATGGAGTGTGGAAAGACCTTTACTTTTACCAGTCATCTTGATTCACACAAGAAGACCCACACAGGAGAGACACCATATCAGTGTGAGGAGTGTGGAAAGTCATTTACTTGTACCGGTAGTCTTAATTCCCACAAGAAGACCCACACAGGAGAGAAGCCATATCAATGCATGGAGTGTGGAAAGAGGTTTAGTAGGAAATATGCTCTGATTCACCATAAAACTATCCATACAGAAGATAAGCCATATCAATGCATGGAGTGTGGAAAGACTTTCTGTTATTATAACTCTCTTGTAAGACATCAAACAAATCACAAAGGAGAAAGACCTTATACATGCATGGAGTGTGGAAAGACCTTTACTTGTACCGTTAACCTTAATTTCCACATGAGGATGCACTCAGGAGAGAAGCCATATAAGTGTGCTGAATGTGGAAAGGGCTTTAGGTGGAATTCTGCTCTTACCACGCATAAAAGGATCCACACAGGAGAAAGGCCATATCAATGCATGGAGTGTGGAAAGACCTTTACTTCTGGCAGTAATCTTAATTCCCACAAGAGGATCCACACAGGAGATAAGCCATATCAGTGCAAAGAATGTGGAAAGACATTTACTTGTAGCAGTAGTCTCAAATCCCATAAGATGGTCCACACAAGAGAGAAACCATATAAATGTGTGGAATGTGGAAAGGGCTTTAGGTGGAATTCTGCTCTTACCACACATAAAAGGATCCATACAGTGGAGAAGCCATATCAATAAAGGGACGTAATGAGAAGTGCTTTGACAGAAATCCAGGAAGTCCTTGGCATATTACTGCAATTGAACCCAAAATTTCTGTTGCTGAGAGAGACAATGAGTTTTGCCCCCATTCTGTGCCCTTTTTTTGCCATAGTGAACCGCTGTTGGTAAGTAACTCTGTTATGAAATGAATCTGGCTTCCCTATTGGCTTTACTTGTCACAAAATCTCAAAAGGTGATCACATGTCCAGGAACACTTCAACTGTCAAACATGAGTCAATTGCCAAGCACCTGAAATTTGATCAGATGACCATGGGAATGCTGCAACAGTCATAAGTTTGAAAAAAGGTCATGTCATTTTTTTCAGTGCTGCTGTAACTTTTAACAATCACTAAATGAACTGTTGTAAATTGATGATTACCTTTAATTGTGTAAAATCCCATGCAAGGATAATTTGAGTAATAATCCAAATAAATTGTAGACCTTACATATGTATTCATGAATTGCCTTTCTAGTGCAAACCAGAACAAGGTGGATTCTCAATCCTGCTTGTGGTTTTTGCCATGTTCAAATAATCAATGACTTTTGTGCATGTCAAAATATTCCTAATTGTTTTTCATTACATTGTTCCAAATATTCCAAAATATCAAACACAATGATTACATTATTCTTCAAGTATCTTTTAGGTTAAAAAAATCTAATACCTCTTGCTGATGCCTCAGTATTTCTGTTCTGGTATTCAGCCAAGTATCTGGAGCTAGCTCTTTTTCTGTCTATTCTATCTTTCTATCCCTGCTTGTCTTTTGAAGGCTAGTATGAGGAATCTGATTTCTGCATCCAGAATGTTGGCTCTTGCTTGCCATGTCTTATTGCTTGTGAGTGCCAAATTCCTTCTTTTTAGCAACTAACATTTGTTTTCATACACGGTACTTGATGAGTCCCATGAGTCGGAAGCGATCCCATTTTTTCCACCAATTTATCGTGGGTTCTTTTTAAACCATACTCCATTTGTTTGACTTTAACTCAAAAATCCATCAAAAGTATGAACTTTAGACAATTTAAACCTGTCTCCTATAAGAGTTGTGGAGATGTCTATTTAAAAAAAATATCCAAAAGTGATACATACAAATCACACGTAAGTTCTTACTATGTTTGTTCTCTTTTGCTAGATATTTAGTATATTGATGCTATATGATGTTCTGTATTATACTATCACTATATTATATACTACTAACTGATAACCTGCATTGCCTGGGTATTTATAGACATCAAAGTGTTTGTCTGATGGAGCCATTTGTCTCACAGGGGCCTTTCTTTCCCCTACTCCCGTGCCCATCATCCCTGCCCTCTCCCTTCCCCCTCCCATGTGCTCCCACCTGCCCCAAATCCATCAGGCCCTTCACTATTAGTCTACTGAAGGGCAAACGTCACAGCTGGCTTTCCAGAGGAAGCTGCGAAGGAACCGACATCACAAACAATTGCCACTCTAGGATGCAGCAATCACTCTCCTTAATGGACCAGGCATTCCAGAGTTATGCTGGAACACACAGATACACACACACAAGGGGTGACTTACTCTACCAGTAGAGCCAAGGTGGCGCAGTGGTTAGGGTGCAGTACTGCAGGCCACTTCAGCTGACTGTTATCTGTAGTTCAGCAGTTCTAATCTCACCGGCTCAAGGTTGACTCAGCCTTCCATCCTTCCAAGATGGGTGAAATGAGGACCCAGACTGTGGGGGCGATATGCTGACTCTGTAAACCGCTTAGAGAGGGCTGAAAGCCCTATGAAGCGGTATATNCCCTATTTTAACTTTCACCCCTTTCATATCACTATAATATTCAAAGACTTGTTTTCCACCTATTTTGTTTTTCATATTTCCTTAGTTAAACCAAAGTTCCATCCTTTATTCTTCCATTTTTCAATATCTCATACAGTTTTAGTATCAATCACGATCATTTATACATTTAGGGTATTTCTATTCATATTCTTTCCAGTTCTTCAATCCATATAATTCTATTATTAATTCACATGTATGTATGTGTGCATGTATATATATATGTATATGTATGTATGCATGTATGTGTGTATATATATTTCATATTTTTATAGATATTTAGTATTACAGTCATTCAAAATCTATTTTTCCATTCCTCATATCCATGTATATTACAATAT